ATTCAGAAGTTGATTTTGAACTCGTTTGAGTAATTTTGTTTAGTAACTTTTAGAGAAAATCGATTTAATGTAACTTCTTTAAACACTCTTTCAGAAAAGAAAGTTCTTTTAAATTTTAGTTTTCAAACATTAATTAAGTTAAATTCGTAACTTTTCTACAAGAAATAAAAGTAAAATTAGAAGCCATACCAAACATGTCCTTAATGTGACTATTTTTTATATCAATTTTCTACTCGATTGTAGATTGATTTTGATCAACTTTAGAAAAGAAGACGGGCTCTTATAATATGCTCTTCTAAATAATAGTTATAACGGTCATACATCCAAGCCACCAAAACGTTAATTGCTCATCCTAACTTATGAAATTTTCGTGCATTTAGTTGGTACAAAAATGTTCAAGAAATAAAACACATCAATAAAATTTATAATAAACACATTGAATGATATTTTAATAAAGGATAATTATATTACCATCACAAAAATTATTAACTGTACCACATTATATCCACACCACAATTAAACATAATTTTAATAAATACGTCACAATAAATTTACAATCGTATACCTAATTTAATAAATATAATAAAAAAGAGGAATTCTGAGTTTTAATAAATACATCACAACTGAATTTCATCTTTTTCTTTCTTCTTGTCGCTCTATACTTTTTATGCTGCAGACATCCATCATTGTTATATGGACTGGACAAGAGAAGAAGTAGAATACCTTACTCATTTCTTCTCATTCACATTATCAAGAGATATGAATAAGGTTTTCTTCTCATCCATACTATTTTTTCTTAATTATTTTTTGTCACTAAAGTGAGTGAAGGTTTTAGTAGCATAAAAGGGCCTTAGCGAATGGAGGATTAGACTCTCGAAATTCAAGAATTTTAACCGAAGAAGAAAAGAATGGTTCTTTTAAAGAATTGCATTTTGCAATTATAAGATCTTGTCAGTTTGAATTTGGCATGTTAAGAATTGGAATCACAACTTTAATAAACCAATGAATTAAATACGTACTTGCGGAATCAATCAATATGAATTATGGATGTAATATATAATAGAGGCTGGATCTTCCCCTCCTTGCTCCTCACAAAATTGAAAGCTATCAATGGGACAAGCTTAAACGATATAGAGAGGAGAAAGGACCTAACCTTTATATAGGAATCAAATAGGTCTCCCATTAACACTCAACAGGCCCTTATTAGGGTTTTTATTTCGGCCCACATACTTAAAATTACCACATTATTTAATTTCAACCCGCAAGGTGTAAAGGCCCAATTGATCACATAATTAATTTGGCCCAATAACAAAACACAATGAGATATATGTCTAACCCGTAAAATTCACAATCGAATGTGAAACCCACATATGAAATAATTCCAACATTCTCCCACTTGGGCAAACATTCGATTGTTATAACAAAAGTTTTAACACCCGGGCTAGACAACATAGGTGGCCACAAAAGTATAGCTCCAATATAACACCTTACGTAACATGATCCGATCCAACAAGAATATTAACACCGAACATGGAAGTCAATACACCAATTAAGCGATGTAAGATCATTCCACAATTACAAATGTTAACATCCTTATCGATATGGATCCCCATCCTCCAACCAATGTGGTAGTATGTGATATGAACTTAGCACCAAAATGTGATCAAGAACTGTGCTAATTCATATCGGTCCTCATAATGCTTCAAATCAAAATGAAACCATATGTCTCCAAAAGAGACTCATCTTATGTCTTTATCCATTATATCTCGAGATTACAATAATATCATAATAAAAGACATAAGTCAAAATGCATGCTCAAAATAATTTATGGATAGGAGAAAATATTTTATTATCAGAAGGGACTGTACCCGAAAACATATGGGTAGTATACGTATCTCGTGAAGAGATCAAACCCTAAACATAGTTCATAAATAACTCCCACTATCCAAAAGATCAAATATTTCCACAATGCCCATATTAGTAACATATGCCTTAAAGACTTTTGGAGCGAATCCTTTAGTTAAAAGATCTGCAATCATTTCCTCTGTATTGATATATTTTATTTTCGTCTGCCCTTGCTTCACTTTGTCTCTAACCATCAAATATTTGATGTCAATATATTTTAACCAATTAGCATTTTATTATTCTTTGAAAAGAACCCTACTGCACTGTTATCACAGTAGATAATGATTGGTCTTGAGATGGAATCAACAACTTTTAAATCAGAGATGATGTTTCTTAACCAAACAGCTTGGATTGTGACTTCATAACATGCCACAAATTCAGTTTGCATAGTAATAGATGCCACTAAAGTCTGTTTAGCACTTTTCCAAGAGATATCACCATCAGCTAATGTGAAAATACAACATGAGGTTGATTTCAAATCATCTTGACATCCAGTAAAATCAGAATCTGAATATCCTACCACCTCAAGATGATTTGGATGCTGGAATGTAAGCATACAGCATTCAATTTTCTTTAAGTATCTCATAATTTTCTTTGCTGTTTTTCAATGCTCTTGTCCTGGATTCGACTAAAACCTACTAAGGATACTTACTACGTATGCAATAACACGTCTAATGCAAACTTGAGCATACATCAAACTCTACAGCACTACCATATGGAATCGTTTTCATAGATTCCCTTTTTAGCTCATTCCTTTGACATTTAGTTTTGTTAAACTTATCACCTTTTATGATATATACATTAACAGGTGCACAATTTTCTATATTGACTACTTCTAGAACATATAGTATATAAGTCTTTTAAGAAACTCCCAGCAAGTCACGATTTCTATCATGATGTATCTCAATGCCAAGCACATAAGAAGCATCTCCAAGATCTTTCATCTTAAAATTAGCAGGTAACATTTTCTTAGTCTCATGAAGTAATCCCAAGTTACTGCTAGCAAGCAAGATGTCATCGACATATAAGACGGGAAAAAATAAAATTTCCCCCACTGGTTTTGAGATAGATACATTGATCAATACTATTTTCAACAAAACCAAGAGAGGTCACAACCTCGTCAAACTTCAGATAATATTGTCTAGATGCTTGCTTGAGGCTATATGATGATTTATTTAATTTGCATACCAAATGTTCTTTTCCTTTTACAACAAAACCTTCAGGTTGTTTCATGTAGACTATTTCAGAAAAATCTCCATTCAAAAAAAAAATGTTGTTTTAACCTCCATTTGACGAAACTCCAAACTATAGTGTACTACAAGTGCCTTAATAATTCAAGAATCTTTGAACGAGACATGTAAGAAGGTTTCAACATAATCAATGCCTTATCACTGAGTGAAACCTTTTACACCCAATTTTGCCTTCTTTCGTTCAACATTTTGTTTTGATTCTAATTTACTTTTGAAAATTCACTTATCGTCTATAACTTTAGCATATGGAGGAAATTCGACAAGTTCCCAAACTTTATTCTCTTTCCATATAATCCTTTTCATCTGCCTCAGAACTTATCAATGTTTGATTATAAGTTATAGAATCAATAATATGCCCATTATGTAAATCATTTTCCAATGTAATTATTGAGCAATGCATATCTCCTTTTCCTTTATGATCTCCTAATTTGTGCTCAAATATTGTCTAAACCATTGTTGAAGAATTGGAAATTCCTCTTGGTTTCTTGGTTCTTCATTAACAACTTCACCTGGCTGAGAGTAAACTTTTCCCTGTATAACAGGAACTAGAATGACAACTTGATTTGGTTCAACAAAATTTTCATAGATCTCCCACTATTTCCAAAATTATTCTCCAGAAATTCTGCAGTAATGGACTCATCATATCTACTATAATATTCACCACCTCGATCAGATCTTACAACCTTAATGTTTTTTCAATTTTTTTTCTCTAATTATAGTTTGAAACTCTTGAATTTCTCAAGTTCATGAGATTTATCATTGATCAGGTAAACATATACATATCGGGAGAGATCATCAATAAAGGTTATGAAATATCTATTCCCACATATGGTAGATGTCAAAGGTTCACTAATGTCCGTATGTATCAAGTCCAAAATTTCATTACTCTTAGTTGAACCTTTCCTTGTAAACTTAGTTAATTTTCCTCTTATATAATCCACACAAGTGTTAAAAT